TTGATTTTTGCTGAAATTTTATACTAGCTTCATACTAAAATATGATGTTTGCCTATGACATAATGCGAAAACACCGGAGTAGCGCAACCACAGTTGTTATTAGTGTAAATGCTCTTAATATATTTGGCTGTCCAGACTCGGCTATGCCATACAGTAACACTAGTTTCATGAAGAATATTCATAAACACCATATTATACAATAATTGATTATGCTTTATATATTAAGTTTTTATTATTATATTCTTATATTAAATACAATAGAATTATTAACTAAATTTTATTACTTAAATTACATAGAATATAAATCTTATAGATAAATCTTAGATAACTAATTATACATTAACTTAAATTAACTAGAACTATTAACTATATTTAATTGCATATTACTTATAACTGTTTAAAATGAGTTTATTTATTTAGGGTGAATATTTTTGTTTCATTGCTAATTTTTCTAAACATTTATAAATAGTATATTTTTTATTAAAAGTCAAATTTTTGCAATTGTTTTTAATATGCTTGTAAATTTTGCACTATATTAACAACTTTTTAGGTTTAAAAAACCCTCAGTACTGCCATTTAAATAGCATTGAAGATATCATAAAGTTATTAAAAATAAAAATTACTTATTAATTTGATATAACTTATTGAAAGTATTAATTAATATAATTAAGTTAATGTTTTACACAGAAGTTCAAATATTTACAATTTCTTTAATTTTTTGTTAAATTTTACACTATTTTTTTTAAGTACCCAGTTTGATTTAGCACTTTTATTGAAAAGTTTTTTAACAAAATTTCATTGTGGCACCCGTAAATCGGATCCTTAAATCAATTATTGTTATAAACTTTTTTATTTCTTTTTTTTATAGTGTTTGCTAAGATTTCTTTAATACCATTTAAATGGTATTCTGTTTTGAAAAAGAAAGTAAAAGGTGATCACCTTTTACTAAAAAATCTTTCTGACGATCTCTATAAAATGTGCGTTTTGAAATTTTTAAAAAAATATTTGAAAAGTATTATTATGTAAATGGCATTAAAAAAATTATAATAAATAGTATAAAAGAAGAAATTAAAAAAAATGTACAAAGCGAAAATTGGTTTGAGGAGCCGATGTGCGGTAGCCATCGCGAAAGTTTGTTGGACTTCTTAATAAAAGTTCTATTATATAAGAACTCAAAGTGGCTACTAAAAAGTAGCCAAGATAATGCAAAATTTAAAAGTAAATTATAAAAATTGTAAAAATTTATATTTATGTAAAAATATTAGTCTAATAATATTTATGAATGATTAGAAAAATTAACAATAAATAATATTCACCCTTATATAAGTAATTTTATTTTAAATAGTTATAAGTAATATGCAATTAAATATAGTTAATAGTTCTAGTTAATTTAAGTTAATGTATAATTAGTTATCTAAGATTTATCTATAAGATTTATATTCTATATAATTTAAGTAATAAAATTTAGTTAATAATTCTATTGTATTTAATATAAGAATATAATAACAAAAACTTAATATATAAAGCATAATCAATTATTGTATAATATGGTGTTTATGAATATTCTTCATGAAACTAGTGTTACTGTATGGCATAGCCGAGTCTGGACAGCCAAATATATTAAGAGCATTTACACTAATAACAACTGTGGTTGCGCTACTCCGGTGTTTTCGCATCATGTCATAGGCAAACATCATATTTTAGTATGAAGCTAGTATAAAATTTCAGCAAAAATCAAATTTTAAATAATTTGGAAGACTTGTGCATTTCATGCACACGAAGCCAGTCATATATTTTAAGAAAAAAAAAGCACACAAACAAAATCCAAGCATCACATTCAAAAATATTGTCTCACCTACCCATGCACATATATATTTAGTAAGTGTGCAATAAAAAGAAGAGTAGAAAAAATTTACCAAGAAACTTACATACGCATGAGCTAGAAGCTATGTGTGCATTTGCTCTGATATTAGAGTTTTTTCTATATGATTTTGTCCAAGCAAAATACAACATGTTCGCTATTGGTTTGATTGCTGACTTCACTAACAAAATAGCATTGATCATACATAAAATAATAAGTTCGATTGTTTATACGTTTGAACAGACATGTTTTTCCCATTGCGTGTACCTTTTCAGAATTCATGATTTTTTTAACAGAGGCAAATTACATGTCTTTATATTTCTATGTTTTTGGCTCAAATATAATAGGTGAAAATGCACACACAGTATTTTATGAACCCTGTATTTTTGAATATAGAATGATAGGGCCACAGTGTATTAAAACCGCACATGTCAGCATTTTATTTTTTGCACATGTATGAAATTTGTTTGAAATCGTTGTCACTTTATTTCTGTTACAGCAATTAATTATCAACCTTGACCGTGAACATGACATTTCAATAAATTGTGGTCATTTCCCAACATACACTATTTTCTACATACATACATATCTACATGTATGTTCGTATGCATGTATAAGGAAAATTGTATAGGCACCACTTTTAATTGGCATTATGCAATATAAAACTCAAAAAACACATTTTCCATTTAAAACTGCACTTGTTTTTTATATAAAATAACTCACCATCACAATCGGTTATGACGGCATCAAAAGAATCCAGCCATTGGGTCACCTTGTCTTTTGGCTGCTCCAACAAATTCACTGCACTTTGTCGAAACATTTTATTTAAGTCAGCACTTAAATTCGGTCTTTCCGCTGGCGCACAACTAAAATTACAATTAAATGTAATGCGATAATGAATTAAATAAATTTCATTAATTATTTTAATAAATTAACGAGCGAGTTTCATTAACGTGCTGCGATTAGCGTCACCGAACCGTTTGTGGAAAATGTTTGTATTGTGTTTATTGATTTTCTCATGCTCACACTTCTATCAACAAAATGCGAAACGATTACGAAATTACTGTTTATAAATTACCTCAAATCGAAATCGCTCCCCTTCAAAACACTAAACTTTCTATTGCCCGTCCAGTTGTCGCTGCTGCTTTTGGTGGTGTCGCTGCTTCTGCTGCTGCTATAGGCACATGAATTTTCAAAATTTCTGCTCGTATATTTTAATACAATTCCATTTTTCAGCATTTGAATCACTGGTATTATGCTCCATTGTTGCTGCGATTTGATTATGCGTGCGAGAAGTAACATTGGTTTTACTTTTTGCTTTGTCTTCGTTTTCTATGAATGACGAGAGCAAACTATGTTACTCTTTGAATGACAACCAACTGTCAAATTATATGAGCGCGTATTTCAATGCACAATACGCGTTTTGCGTATGTGTGTGTATGTGCGTGTGTGTGAGTTGTATGCAATCAGCTGAGCTATTTGACCTTGCAATTGTTGACTTTGTTTTGATTTGCAATTTAAAATTGAAGGCAATGTTTGTTTAATTGTTTAGGAAATCTTTTTAAAGTAAATAAATCAATACAGAATTATTTTAGTAACGAAAGATTAATGAGAGAAATATAACTAAAGTGTATATTTATTTGAAATTATTTATTAGTTTAAAGAACTTTTGCAAAAATAAAACACATTTCTTGGACTGCAGTGCTTCTATACCCAATAAGCGCACATACATACATATATTCGTACAAATTGTGAAATCTTAATGTCAACGGCCGGGAAGTTTATATATAAATAAACATTTGAATATATACAATATTAACAAACAAACGACTATTTAGGTAATATTTTGATGACGTTCATTATTCATATGTTTGAAACATACATACATATTTAAACATTACTCTTAATCTGGTGTTGTAACAACAATAAATTGTTTACATATGTATGTATAGAAATATATATATATAAATATTTATATATATATATATTTATATATATAAATATTATTATATATATATAAATATTTATATATATATATATTTATATATATAAATATTATTATATATATAATTATATATATTTAAATATATATAATTATATACATTCATATATATAAATAAATACACTCAGCAAAAAAGCTCTGCTTACAGAAAGAAAATTTGTTTTCTACGTATAAAAAATTATTTATTAAATAAATTTTTTAATTCAATTTTATTTTTCATTAGTACTTTTGTTACTTATCTTTATTTTATATATAAGTATATAAGTATATATATAATATATATATATATATAAACATTCCGCCTTCCGAATGAAAACCAGTATGTTAGCCGTTGAGTAGCTCCTAATGTCAAAGGGAAGAGTAGTTTTCGACCCAGTGACCTACTCCTGACCCAGATCAAGGCTAAGTAGTCAAAGAAAATGTGACTGAAAGTCTCGTCTGCTTCTAAACAGAGTTGAATATTTAAACAACACCTATAAATAAATATTTTATTATTGGTAGACTACTGTCTGTTATTTTTTTCAATTAATTATTTTTTAACTTAATTTAGAAAATTTTTTATAATTATATAAATACATAATTACTGTTACACTAGATCGTTAAATTATTAGCCGAGATTATGCATAGATCTAAGTGGCATATTATAATTGCAGTCACGTTACGGCGATTATTGTTGCTTTCAATGCAAAATGAAGTGAACTCTCAGTGTCAAATTTTCTTTTTGCATTGAAAGCAACAATAATTGCAGTGACGTGACTGCAACATAATATGCCGAAACCAAAGATCCGTAGCGACACCACATGACAATCCTTAAATTCGATTACAGAGGGTGCATGCCAATTAAGGTGTATGGGTCATTCCCGATTTTTAAAAGATCATCTAAATTTGTTTTAATTCTTAATCACTTAAAACTAAAATAATTGTACTCGTTTCTACTCCTGTAGATCAAAACAGTGAACAATGTCATAACCCCTAAGTAAGTCTCTTCTTCTTTGAAACTAGTATGTACCTAGTATTAAATATATTATAATAAACTATAATTTAATTTTTATAACTGAATAATCAAAGCAACCCTAACTACCATATATTGACAATATTGATACAGTGGAAACCTTATTTGTAGCAGGCTGCATTTGCTATATAAATGCTACTGATTATATTATAATACATAGCAAAGATATTAATCTTTTTTTATTATCATTACCACACATTTTTTTAACCAGACAAATCAAAATAATTCTATCTAAAGTGACAATGATGATAGAATGAAAACTCTCTTAGCGGACACCCTTATTGGAGAGACACTCTGATTGGACAGAGTTTTCTATTATACGGACAGGGAATCATATCAAAATTTCCTGCGCGAACATTTTTTTAAAACTTGATTTTCTATCATTATTTAGAACAACAAGTTCCAAGTTCCGATATGTGGCTACGCGTGTGACTATAACTTTTTACAATAATTTTATATTAATAACTTCATAACATATATTGGTATAATTTTAATCCAAGTTGTGCAAAATATTAAAAGTTATATTCTATGAGACCTTACATACATACAAATTTAAGGATATGGATAAATCAGTTATATGATCGATTCATAATGCAAATTGCTATAACGGAGTTTCAAAAAATGGAGAAATTTCTGGTACAGATATCGATATGTTTAAATTAGTTCGACTCAATTCCTCGATTTTATAAGAAATCTTCAAGTTTATTTTATTACAAGCAATTTTGTATTGGTCACCAGGTAAAATACTTAACAGTGTCAACCAAAAAACTATATATATATCATAAAATCAACCAATATTTACAAAAAAAAATTTTTCTTGATGTTTTTCCTTTTGATGTTTTTCCAATTTATTGGAAGACTTATCATTCTAAACACAACCTCTCTGAGATATGTGATGTGTAGTAGTTTCAAATCAGATGGGATATCTAAAATTAAAAATAAAATATACTGTTATTAACTCTATTTTTTGCTCTATCTGTGATATATATCTAGAATATGTAGAACTAGAATATATAATCAGTACTTTTAAAAAGCTATATAAATAGAATATATTGCACGACATGTGTCTTGTGATTTTTGTGATAGGGAGTAAAGTAAGAGAAACCATCACGAAATAGGTAGAGATGTTAAGTCTAAACATGTCTACCTAAGCGAGCCATAATAGCACTCAAATTTATCTACGTATTTAAGCATAGAAACAGATACGCGACATCATGTCGAGTATACCTGTAGCTGGAAACACATATTGTGATTGGATACATTTATTCGTGACAAGTAACTGTTCAGCACATGGTTATATACTGACCTAAATTTGGCAAGAACAGTTCTTGTTGTATAAAAGAAACGTCTTTTATCCCTTTAATATCAGGAGAGGGCATATGGAGAGCTTAATTGTTAGAGAACAGTAATTGCGTAAGGATAGTGCATTGATATGAGTGTCGAAATATCCATATCGACTGCCAACAGTCAAATTCACTGCTGATATCACTGTCGCGGCAGGAGTCGTTATATTCATGATATGAAGAAATTAATCAAAATATGCAACAAGCAGGAATGTTTTTATTTACTATAACGCCATATGAATGATTGAAGAAAGCAGAACTTTTTTCGACAGAAACACCTTGTGTTTCTTGATTTCAATACACTTCGGCTTACGTCCAGGAACTTCTCATTCAAAGGCAGAAAAGTAGTTATATGCTCGTGTTGGCTTCTCTTGTTCATTTTATGTGTCGTCTTATTTTCGATAACACTTCATATTGGTTGTGCTTCTTGATTTCAAGAGTATCCGGGCTTATGTCCAGGAACTACACATTTTCACTGGCAACCCAGTGCCGTTCGATCGTGTTGGCTTCTATTGTTTTATGTATCATCTAATGTTCTTAGATGCTGATTTTATAAAGGAACCCTATAGAACCCTTTTCAAGATTTTATGTACCAAGAACTAAAAATTATAAAAGCATATTAACATACGATAAATGCATCAACTTTTACTTTTATATCATCGATTTGAGCTTTCTACTAAAACCTTATGTGGTGTACAAGAATATAAAACAGTGATTCATATTAAATTCAACAAAAACGAATATATCATGGTTAGATATACAATAAAGCAAGTTTGTGTAAAATATACCATAAATATAATTAACACAAATACTTATTTTAGATTGCTTATTAGGAAATTAAAAAAATGTTATTTTAACTGTTTTCTTACACAAGCCAGACGATAAAAATAATACCATATATTTTCACTAAGGTAATACACGTTTTTTTCTTCGGTATACCTATTGAACGAGTTTTCTCTCATTATTTTCAGCGTTTTATAGGTAGGGTTTTAAATTATATAATTGCATTACCTAATAAACATTAACATTCAATTTATGTAAATTTTCTTATCGTAAACATAATCCATATACTAAACTTAACTAATTCCGTTTTCAATTTACCATATTAATTGCTAGCACCCTAAGAGTAAGTCATTTTAAGATTGTTAAACAGCAAAAATAATATATACTCGTATATAATTTAATATTGTTTATGCAAAATTGCTTGTTTTATTTACTATGCTATAAAAAGTTTATATTTTATATTAATTTCAAAAAACAAACATAAACTTCTATACTAATATAAATACACATATTTTAAACTAAATGAGAATAACTAAAATTTAAGGGGGAAAATATACAAATGCAAATAAACTAATTTTACAATATTTTAGGAGATGTGTACACATTTCATGGAAACAAACTGTTCAATATGACAAAAGAAAATTCTTGTTGATCATTTAAATATTTTTAAATTAATATGCCTATTTTCAAAAAATTCAGACCTAAAATTTAGTACAAATATTAATAAAATTGTGGAAGAACTATTTAGACCTAGAAACACAAAAATTAATTTTAAAAATAAATATAAATTAAGACTTTCGCTGTACTTATTAACTAAATTAAAACTTAATTTGACTAAATTATTAAAATAATAATTATAATAATAATATTAATAATTGCAAATCAAAACGGGAATTACTGAGTTGTAGTTGCTTTGCATTTTAGTTTCAATTTTGACATGCTTTAAAAGACTAAAATAAAGGCGTTTGCTGTGACATCATCAAGCCACCGGGGCCTGAACTGCTGCCAGGACCACCGGTTGGCATTGCACCGCCCATAACAGAGCTCAAACCGACCCCACCTAACATTGGTGTTGTTGGCATCATTTGTGGATGTTGTAACGTTGGTGCAGAGGCTAATTGTTGTTGTTGTTGCATTTGTAATTGTGTTGTAGGCATAGAACCAACAAGTGATGCTCCACTCATCGATGAAGGTGGCTCAGGACTATGGCTTTTCTTTTTACGTTTTTTCTCTTTTTTACGCTTTTTACGTTCTTTATCGTCTTCATGACGTTTTTGTTTTTTATGCTTTTTCTCATAAGGTTCAAGGCCCGATGAATCTATTAAAAGAAAGAATATTAATTATTACATATGATTGCAGGAGGTGGAAATTTTTATATTTTTAGCAACAAACCCATTAAAGAAGTTTCTTGTGGCACAGCTCCATCTTTGTGTTTATGCTTTTTGTGTTTATTTTTATGTTTTCTCGCAGGTGTTGAATTTAAAGCACGATATTGTTCAGGCAGCTGAAATAAAATAATATCGTTTATATATACTGAACTTTAAATTAAAATAAGATATTAATTAATATATTATATTTTTATAGAAAATACATATTTAATGTAACAATAATATGTCAATATATACGTAACCTTAAACTATCTCTATAACGACGAAATTAAATTTGTTTAAACTGATTTAAAGAGTTTTAACGTAAAGTGGTGTTCACACTGACTAAACGTATAAATTAGTTTTTGTGTTTATATATTTTAGTAATAAAAACAATAATGTTTAAATGCAATTTTTATAGTAACGCAGAATTTGCATGTAATATATATTAAAAATTATTATTTATGATATAATAAAAATATACACAATTGATCATTTATATAGGTTAGTAGGTCTAAATGGACCCCTATGATGACCGTCATAATTTAACCTAACTTAGACAATATATGAAGAATCTTACGCTAATTCATCATATAAAACGAAAAGAAAATAAATATTGACTTCGGATTGCGTCGGCAGTGTTTCCATTTCCGTCGTTTCTTAGTACATGCATACAGAGGGGATTCCATTTTTATTTCTTGTAGATCACATTTTTTAAAAGAGAATTTACATGTATTAAATTTTTAGTTAAAAGGTTTCAGTTTACATTTGTGTGGTCAAGTGGAACGGTAAATTTTTGGTTATAAAGTACAAAAAAGTGTCAAAAGTGAAAAAAAAGTTTCCTTAGAACAAAAGTTAGACATTTTAAAACGTTTTAAATTTGGAAAAAAAACTACTGTAAGAACAATTTGTAATCGTGATGCGGACAAGATAAATGACTATGAAAAAGCTGTCACAAATTTGCAAACCAAACAAGTTATAAAAAATAGAAGTCCATTAATTGTAAAAATGGAATCTCTTCTATCCATTTGAATAGAAAATCAGAATTATAGAAAAATATCACTGAGCCAAACGCTATTTTAGAAAAATATTCTGAGAATATTTATATAATTTAATATTTATATAATATAATATTTATATAATATAATTATATAATATAATAATATTCAGAATATTTTTGGAAATTAAATATATGGAAAAATATGATTCGATTTGCGTCGCATTTTGTCGAATCCAATTAACGACGCAAATCAAGGTATTAGTGTACATCATATAAAACAATAGTGAAAATAATATTCAATATCTCAATTAAAATTATTAAGTTAAAAAAAATTTAGTTCCGGGAAAAAGCTAATATTTTCAATTATTATGTGACCAATAGTGATCAAACGTGGCTTATAAACTATGTTTTAAAATATTTATTTTTTCACCTTACAGGATTCTATAAATAAACAGAACTTATCCCATATTTAAATTATAAAATTCGTTTGTTAATACTTAGTTGCAACAAATAAATGTATTACACAAAAAGGGCTGGATGTGTTTATAAATACCTCCACACATACGACTTGCAACCTATTCATGTTTCCTGCTCTACAGATCCCTTTTGGGTTACAACAAGTACAACAATTAAAGCAGGAAAACTTTAGCATTTATAATCTTAAAGCGATATTGATAAAACTTTATATACTACAAATTACTTACTGGTCCCGGATGTAAACGAAAACCAGCTAATTGCACTGACGTCAGAGGTAACAGCTCCTTGCCCACTATGGGAGGCTTCTCAATCACACTTCGCAATGTGCTGTTTTCCTTTTAGTTTAAAACAAAAACAAACAAAAAATTAATGTATAATTTAATTTTTATAATAAAAATAATTTTATTTTACTTACAATATTTGTCATACAATCCGCAATTCCCGGTAAATTTGGCAGAAATGACGCTAAAGATTCTTTTACTTTCTTATCCTTAAATTTAGTTAAGGTATGGTGTAGACCATATTCGGTCATTAAGTCTTTATCACCGGTCAATTCCGCTTTTCCTACAAAATACACATTATTAGATACTGAGATTTAAATATTCGTTATAAGAAATAATAAATAAGTTTTGTTTTTAACCGCATTTTTATTTTTCATCCTACTATCCTAATCTAACCATTAATTTTTAATCTCATACTTTTGACCTAATCATTGATTCAAACAGTGTTCAATATTATTTATTTTTCAATACTTGTGCTCTTTATATTATTTTTATAATATTTTCACTTAAGGCCTAATGCAATAACCTTTGCGTGACCTTATAAAAACAACAAATATATTTCATATATGGAATGATCATTAAAATTATTTCTGATAAGCTAAGGAAACAAGCTCGATATATATGATATTTAATGAAAAAACTAAAACAAAGTTAATTTCATTTTATTGCTGACCATGCTTTTTTTTAGGAAACTGGCAGTACTCCTCAGCATTAATGTTTATAAGTAAGATTTATTTTTTATGATATATATAGAAGACTGTCAGTGCTAGGGTGAGAACTCTGTCATTTGAAACGCTGACTTATGTTATGTGCTGATTGTTATAAATTTTTATTATCAACAATGAATAATATGTATTCTTAGAACCCATGAATGAGCAATGTTAGGATTTGTTACTGTTTTCATAATTTATTATAAACAAAATTGAATTTAGCCTTAAACTAGTCTCGTTTTTTTTTGTGCTTTCGTTTTAAAAATAAGACTAAAAAATAAGACAGGATTTATAAGCTTCTTTAATTTGTCAGCAACTTCTACATATTAGTAGATTAAGTTAGACATACATTATATAAAAGATTGTCTTTTGAAAACTCAACAACAAAATAGTTGACTTTAAACAGTTTAACACAATTTAAAGTCAACTTATTTGGTTTTAAAATATCAGCCTTTCACACGGTAAATGTGAACTCAATCGCGAAATCGCTAAGAAACATTAAAGGAAAAAAGTAGATATTTTTTGGAGAATTATATATAATAGTATTTATTAAACAAAATTTTATTCTGCAGTACATAATGGCTTAAGTAGTGGGGTAATAATTAATACACTACAATATATGGTAAATATATCGGCAAATGAGAATCTTTAAATTAATTCAGCTGTTTAATATATACGTGATTAAATGATTTGCAGAATTTCCTGACTTGATTGCCGCTTATCATTACCTTTAATGATATGATATTTATAACAACAAATATTTAAAAGTATCCAATAAGAAAGTAATATAGAGTAGATCATATTTTCTTTACCTTACCTAACCATATCCTAAACCCTATATAATTATTTGTAATTCCTTTCATGCTATATTCTATATAGAACTCCACTAATTACCACAACAACAACAACAGAAACCAAGGTAAAAACTTATAAGGCATCCGTGCTAGATTTATAACTTTCTGTTTGGTGGAGCTTTTACAGTAGCAATATACTTCAAATTATGAATTTCAAATTCACTTGAATCAAAGACAGACTTTATACCTATATTATCATAACATTATAACTTTATAATCATATTTGGATAGGTTTTTTTATAGACCTAATTGTCTCCAACTTTTTTCCAATTAGGATTTTATTTTTCTACAATTATTTTTACTGTTTCATATATAATTGCCATAGTAATACTATTTCAGCATTGCTATCATCAAGAAAGTGAAACTAATATTAATAATTAAAAAAATATTGTTGCAAAAACATTCGTTATTTTTTGAAAATTAAATATTTTAAATTTCTAAAACGTGGTTAATTTATTCTTCCTCTTAATAATTCACAGACATTCTGGAAATTTCAGTTAACATTTTTTTTAAATAGGACTACAAAAAAAAATTTATTAATCCACATGGTTTTATATTCCAAAAATCGTTAAAGGACACTGTTTTAAATTAACAAAATAATTACTTTATCTATAAAAAAAATATTCAAAATTAACTAACTTAATGAATATTAAGTATTTACATACCAGGTGGTTCCCTCATTGAGTAAAAAGGTCCTGTATGAATAATGGTAGGCGTTTTACCCAAGGATATTGTAGTCTTTAATGTGCCCGATGAATCTTGTCGAGATACCACAGGTGAGCGACCACCGTGCGGCGAAGACTTCGGCGAATATGTCGAATCCATTTTTCGGAACTGATCGCCCATTAAAATATTATTATAGTTATTCATCATTTCGAGCAATTTATTGTATCGTTGCTTAAATTAAATAGTTTAATTTATGTGTAACTTTAGAAACTATAACATATATTTTGTTTAAATACAAAAACAACTACTAAGTCCCGAGGTAATGCATGGTAACGAATTTTTTGTAAGATTTTTGAGAATAGCCTCGTTTAAGTTTTACTTTCGCCTTTATATTGGTGTCGATTTTGCAAATATGCGTAAACTCTATAACGTAAAATTTATTTTACATAAAGAATATCACTTTATTTAAAGTAATCATTTAATAAAAATATAAAAACATTTAAACTCATTTACAAGCTACTAATTATATTATTATCACGCCTGTCCGCATTATTTATTAGACGAAGCACAGACAGAAACTGCAATCTTTACAAACTCAACTCTATCGCCATCTTGGACTAAGCGAAATGTCAGTTATGACCTGTCAAATAAATTATAAACAGTATTGGTAGTGGCGGTGGTGGTGGTAGTTCAAGATATTGAGTGTTGAAAAGTATACTAGTCTGACGAAAATTATTTAGCTTTTAGTAATACTCTAATTAATAAAAAATGCAGATTTAATAATCCATATTTATAACAAAAATAATTATTTAATATTGCGATTAAACGACAATAGTTCTCTGTTTTGTTTTTTAAAAATTAATATAATAAAATGTTTTCGAATTCCATTCATTATAATCCGTTTTCTTTAATTTGCAATAGAATATATGATATGTGTTGCTAATTACTAAACACCTAATTATATGTAATAGCCATCATAACTAAAAAAACTTATGGGGACATATGCGGAGTAATGATTTAAGAAAAATCAATATAAAGAAAAATCGTTATGATTTTCAAGTTCTATGAAATACTTTACTATAAAAAGACCTTATCTTTCGATATTTTTGGCTGTAAAGTAAAATTATCAGAAGTTGTGTGTCTCAAACTTTTGATACTTGGTACACTTGTTCACTTAAATAAATAAGAATTTCGTATAAATCATAAATCGAATAGAATTAAACTATGTATGAATATATGTATACTATTGGAGCTGTAGACTCTATAGTCTATGTTTATTATTTTTATATAAAAAATCATAAAATGCTGGCTATTTACGCTCTCAATATTTAAATTCACATTGAAAACAACGATTTCACATTTGACAGTATCTTTACTGTCTATATAATACGGCCCTTATCTAAATTTTATACAATTTATTTATTATATTTTTGTTATTAATATATAAAATAAAATAAATATTTTCTTACTTATTATTTATTAAATGGATTGTTCAGTTTTTTGTCTTTTCCTACACTGTTTTTTACACAGTGAAGCTGTCAACTGTCAGTTTTTGTCTCTTAAGACGGCCGTGCTTGACCAAAAAAGTTGTTTGGTAGAAATATTTTTTTCCAAATCCTTTTAAAACGAATATAATAAAATGCAGTGCACTTTAAGAAATGCTATTGCAGCTGCGATTCAGGTGAGATAGTGTGTATAAATAACTAGATAATCCATTTTTTAAATTGATAACTTCAAATGCAATTATGTGATCATCTTCGGTGGTTTTTATTGGTTATGCAATTATCATTTTAACCTCATATCGGAAATTGAGCAAGGATGTTATATGAAATAACTGATACTAATTAAACATAGTTGTCGTGTCGCAATGAGTGGTAATACTCAACACTAACTAAAGTGCATATCAAAACAATAAAAGCTGCTAATATAACACACGAACAGAATTTACATCATCAAAATCGATATTATTATTTGCATACATATATGTTTATATACAGATAAAATATGCATAAAATGGATAAAGTGCACATATTCCGTTTCAAATAAAGTGGTTTAACTTGTTTAGTATATTGTTTGAACTAATTACAGTGACCAGTAATTTTTTTATCAGGTGACTTGTATTTGTTAATGTCAATGTTTCTTGTCGAACTGATAAATCACGTATGACGTCACAAAACAGCGATAACAAATGCTCTTAAAATTTGTTATTAATTTTCTAATTTCTTTACGTAGACACCATTACGTACAAACAGTGCGATACTCGGTGCATTGAACAGTCGGTCGTATTCCACAGCACATGAAGCGGATTTGGTAGTGATTGGATCCGGCCCTGGTGGTTATGTTGCCGCTATTAAAGCCTCCCAAATGGGCATGAAGGTATTTATTTAATAAAATTAAAAAAAAATAAATTAAATTGAATTTGCATTTAATTTTTGCAGACCGTTAGTGTGGAAAAGGAAGCAACACTTGGTGGCACTTGTCTAAATGTTGGATGCATACCATCAAAAGCATTATTAAATAATTCACATTATTATCATATGGCGCACTCTGGAGATTTAGAGAAACGTGGCATTGTTTGTGGAAGTGTTTCTTTGAATTTAGAAAATTTGATGGGACAAAAAACTACTGCCGTCAAAGCGCTTACAGGCGGCATTGCACAACTTTTTAAAAAAAATAAAATTACACAGCTCACAGGAGTCGGCACAATCACCAGTGCCAATGAAGTGCAAGTCAAAAAATCCGACGGCAGTGTAGAGACAGTGAAAGCGAAAAATATTATGATTGCAACTGGTTCTGAAGTTACACCGTTCCCAGGAATACAAGTAAGATTAAATAAAATTGTGCTAATATTGTTTTATATCAATTGGAAGTTTTCACGTAGATTGACGAAGAAGTAATTGTTTCCAGTACTGGTGCTTTAAAACTTGCACAAGTACCAAAAAAAATGGTTGTTATTGGTGCTGGTGTCATTGGTTTGGAATTGGGCTCAGTTTGGTCACGTTTAGGTGCCGAAGTTGTAGCTGTTGAATTTATGACGTCGATTGGTGGTGTGGGCATTGATGCCGATGTTGCCAAAAATTTCCAAAAAATTCTAACCAAACAAGGTCTTCAATTTAAACTTGGTACGAAAGTTATGGGAGCTACTCGAAGTGGTAATAGCGTAACCGTATCTGTTGAAAATGCTAAATCTGGTGAGAAGGAGGAAATCGCTTGCGACACACTGCTGGTGTCGATTGGAAGACGTCCATACACTGAAGGTTTGGGCCTGGAAGCTGTAGGCATTGTAAAGGATGATAAAGGTCGTATACCAGTCAACGGACAATTCCAAACAATAGTACCCAGCATTTTTGCTATTGGTGATTGTATACATGGACCTATGTTAGCACATAAAGCCGAAGACGAAGGTATTATTTGTGTGGAAGGAATGCATGGTATGCCTGTGCATATCGACTACAATTGCGTACCCAGTGTTGTGTATACTCACCCTGAAGTAGCGTGGGTAGGTAAATCAGAAGAAGCACTAAAACAAGAAGGCATTGAATATAAAGTTGGCAAATTCCCATTCCTTGCTAATTCACGTGCAAAAACCAACAATGATACCGATGGCTTTGTGAAAGTTTTAGCTGATAAAAAAACTGACAGAGTTTTGGGCACACATATCATTGGTCCCGTAAGTGTTTAAAATATATATTAAACTAAAGTTTTGTTCGAAAGTAACGCTTTTACAAAAATTTTAGTCTGCGGGTGAACTTATCAATGAAGCCGTATTGGCTATGGAATATGGTGCTGCCGCTGAAGATGTTGCTCGAGTTTGTCATGCACATCCGGTAAGTGTGTTTAATAATAATTTAAGTATTAATTTTTTGAAATTTAATTTTAATTATTCTTATTTTATTTCAGACTTGCGCAGAGGCATTGAGAGAAGCTAACGTTGCTGCCGCTTTTGGAAAACCCATTAACTTTTAATTAAATTATCTATTTTATTTTATTTTTATTTTTTGCTTCAGTGTATAAACTTGCGTAAAATTGAAACGATTTTAAAGCCATCTCGATATCTCATTGTCTGACAATTAAAAAGTGTTAAAACTACAAAAGCTCTGAAAAGATTTTTGTGGGAAGTGATTAACGAATATTACATTACATTAATAAATTGGAATTAAATTCACATAAAAATGGAAATGTTTAAATTCCTCAATTAAGACATTAAGCAGATTTGTGTAACAATTCTGCTTATTATAATACAACGCCTACTCTTTCATATTAGTCCAGAACGATTTAAATGTACTTCGGAAACTCGTCTTTAAGAGGTTATCTGTTAATGCCATTTATCTCTAATTAAATTATATTATCTATAATACTTACAACAATTTACTAATGTACTAACATATCCTGTTTCACAAGTTTCTATAAAAATTAAATTACTTTATTAAATTTAATTATGACAAAAGAATGAAACATCAGATATGATGTTTCTTCATAGAAACTATTGTTTTAATAGGCACGTATTTTGACTATACAGCTGTTTCGAGTATTGCCACATAGCCATCTGCACTGGTTTTGGAATTATTTCTTATATTTAATTATTCGTAAATAATTTTTGAGACTACAGGTATCAAGGATTGAACTCGTATCCTATCAAGCTCCACTTAACTCTGTGGATAAAGAGGAAACTGCACTCTACCTCATGTCTTAGTGCTCAACATTGGCTAGAAAAACATTTAAAATATATTGGTCGCTTTTCTGACTAGACAGAACTATCATCGTTCAAATTAGTTCACTTCTACTTGAATAAATGCTTCAAAATTCTTTCTTACAGTCTGTAATACGGACTGTGATATCATCCGTTATATCATTATTTGTGGTGAGTTAATTTTTTATGCACAAAGTTGCTCATCCAACCTAACTTCACATATAACTGGATAATCATATAACTGAAAATCGATTGATTAGACAAGCAGTGTTCAATGTCAAGTACTTTGTATAGAAAGTATCACATCTAATATTGGTTCAATATAGTGTTCAAAAATCATAAAAAGATATAACTCTTTTGCTGATAAAATATATTGCTATGTAGAAGGTGCCTTTCGCAAGCTCTTTGTGGAGAAAGAGAAAAAAGAAACACTGGAGAGAATATACAAACTATTACGATATCCTGTTGTATGCCTAAATGACAATTGTGGACCTAGTGTTGTCGTCCATATATTCAATTCTAGTCATCTGATACCCACACAATTACAGCAGACTGACTTATGGCTTAATTTCACTGAGGTGGTAAAGTTCCTTGGTACGGAGTAAATTAATACTCCCATATTTTTTACTTTCACACTCCTTAGTTCCGTCATCATTATCATTATTCCAAAATATCCGAATGCCTACTTATTATACTCAATCTCCGCTGGTTTTGCAGCCATACTTTTTTGTTTATAAAGTTTCCCGGATCTTAGCTATTCCTCGCAACAGGTCATAACCGTAATCATACTTTAAAACATCAATTAACTAATACATCATTCAAGATGTAGGAATATTCAAGATATGTAGGAACGAGTATTACATATATATGTTGACATTTTATTTATCTCGAATGAGAATGAGAAAAAAACACACACCACGCACTAGATTTGTGAC